GAATTAGAATTAGAGGGGAATAGTTGCTTCTGTGTTGAGGGACTAGTGGGGAAGAATAAAAAAGATGACTGCTTTCTACTATCCACTGCCTGGACTTTAATTTTTTACCATGTCCTTATTACTTTGTTTAATTTGATAAACCATTGAAAAGAGCCTAAGGTGCATCATTCTCATCTTCTTGGTTTAAGAATTGTTTTCTTGAGCTTGTGGCATTATGTTTAGTCCAAGGATAATGTCTATCATCTCTCTCATAGCTGATAGTAAACACAGTATCTAAAATACTGTTAGAAGTTAGAGCTGTGAAAATTATTAATTAGTTAAGAGCACCTAATTGAGAGTTTTATTGTTGCTTTTATTTATTTTTTAACATTTACTTAGATAAGCTTTAATTAGAAACACGGCAAGTATACATTGACATTGTACACAGACAAAGATGAAATTATGAAGATTTTATTCAATTGTTTTGAGAAACAGCTAATCTAATTCAATCAAAAGTAGACAGTGATAAAAGTGAAATTTACAGTAGAACTTTTATAACAACAGGTTAAAATGTATATTCTAGGCATCATATTTTAACAATAAAGATCACTTGTGGTTCAGATAAACTTGTATATTTTATAAATATTACTTTTGGATGGAGGTATGGAGAAATATCAAGATATATTTTGCAAAAATTTAATTACAGATTATCTGGATTTTTTCTATTTTTGAAAAAGCACAATATCTGAGATCTTTAAATGCTTTATTTGATAATAAATGTTTACACAATGCTTGTTAATGTTTATACAATGCTTGCTAATACTCTCCTTTAAAACTCCAGTAACAGTATTTATAACATTTTCACAAGTTTATGTTTTTTAAAATTTGGGAATTCGTGTACTATCTATTAGTATTTTAAAGTAAGAAAAATGGTGATAAGTGTTCTAAAGAAAGGGTCTTTTGCTTTTATTCACCCTTTTACTCTCAATATCACACAGCAATCTCATATTACTTTGAATAAAGTAGTTGCTAAAAAAAAGCTTGTTGTATTGAATCATATTGTGTGTTATTAGTATAAACATCACTGTAGTAGGACTCATCCAAACTTACATTTTATTCAAACTTATATTTTTAAACAAATTGTTAATTATATGTAATCTGTAATTGAAAGTAACTTTCCTATGAGATATGTTTGTGGAATTAGGATTTTAATTCCTTTCATTTTGCACTTATTGGATGTTAGCTATGTGCCAGGCATGGTGCTGGATTCCCAGCACACAAATATGGACAATGTAAAATCTTTCTTCTCCAGCCACTCACAGCTTAGTGGAGACATAAGATCATCGCAAGTTATAAAACAACAGGATAAGAACTCTTCAGCAGATCCAAATTGTCTTTCCCTTTCATTCCTTTCTACTTACTACTAAGGATTTATGAGGGTTTCTTAGAAAGGTAGAACATAAAAGCAAAGAATTAGCAGCAGAATAATCAGCATGTGAGAAGTTCCTTTGCTTGTGGTATTGGAAAGCCTATCCACTTAAACAAAAAAAAAATGACCATGTCCTAAGAGATCTTTTCAGTCACCTTCTAGGCATCTGAGAACTGGACAATGAATAAGGATGACAGAAAAAGAATTGATGCTTTTGAGATATGGTGGTGGTGAAGAGTACTGAATATATCAAGAACAATCAAAAGGACAAACAGCTATATCTGTATGGGAAATGTGCAGCCAGAGTGCTCCTTAGAGGCAAGGAAGGGGAAGCTTCATCTCATATACTTACGGGCATGTTGTTAGGAGGGGTTATTCTTTGAAGAGAGGGACATCATGCTTGGAAATGTGGAGGTCTGGAGAAAAAGAGGAAGACCCCCAGCGAGATGATTCACACAGTGACTGTGGCAAGGGACTCAAGTATGTCAGAGATGGTAAAGATGGTGCCTAGGACAGGATTCAGATCTGTTGTTCATAGTCTCGCTCTGAGTTGTACTCAACTTGATGGCACCTAACAACAACAAAAGACTTTCAGACTCTCTGTCCTAGGGTGTCCTTTGGGAGGATGTGGGCATTGTGGACCACAATGGAGGCTACTGTCAGAGGAGTTGACATTATAAAATTTTTGTCCAGTATTTATACAGAAACTATTTTTCTTTAAAAAAAAATCCTGTAGATAGAACAACAAAAATATTTTTGTAAGCCCATCTTAATGTTGAGATGTAATCTATATTGAAGGCTGTAGTCCTTGATCTTCTGCAGCAAGTGCTTCAAGTCATGCTCACTTTCAGCAAGCAAGATTGTGTCAGCTGCATAACACAGGTGTTGATGTGTTTTAACTGATCTTCATGCTGCATTTCTCTTCATAGAGTCCAGCTTTATGACTTGTTTGCTCAGCATACATATTTAATAGACATGAAGAAAGGATACAACCTTTATGCATACCCTTCCTGATTTTAAACCATGCAGCGCTCCCCTGTTCTATTGTGACAAGAGTTTCTTGGTCTATGTAGAGATTTCATGAGTACAATTAAGTGTTCTGCGATTCCATTCTTCTCAGCGTAACCATAGTTTGTTATGATCTACAGTCAAATGCCTTTGCATAGTTCAATGTAACAAAGATAGACATTCATCTGGCATTTTCTGCTTTCAGCAGGATCCAGCTGACATTAGCATTGATATCCCTGGTGCCACAGGCCTCTTCTAAACCCAGATTGAACTTCTGGCAGTTCCCTGTCAATGTACTGTACGAGCCATTTGTGGATGATCTTCAGCAATATTTTGCTTGCACGTGATATTATGTTTTTTATATCAGAGTTTGATAATTTCCACACTATGTTAGATCACCTTTCTTGGGAATGGGAACAAATATGGATCTCTCCAAGGCAGTTGGCCAGGCAGCTGAAAGCACCACAAAAACAATGGGGAAAATTGTGGTAAGTGAGAAAAGACTGAAACTGTTGATGATTTCATTGAATCCACAATCAACACCCCTGGTACCAGCAGTCAGGAGATCAGAAGATGAATTGCTTTGGGCAAATCTGCTGTCAGTGATCTCTCCCAAATACTGAAGTGCAATGATGTCACATTTAAGACTAAGGGGTGCCTGATTTAGGGCATGATCTTTTCAATCACTTTCTATGCATCTGAGAGCTGGACAGTGTATAATAATCATAGTAGAAAGTAAAAATCTTTGAGTTGTGGTATTGGGAAAAAGTACTGAATATCCCATGGACTGCCAAAAGAATGAAAAGCTATGTCTTAGGGAAAGTGCAGCCAGAATGGTCCTTGGAGGCAAGGATGGTAAAGTTTCTTCTCTTATCCTTTGGACAAATTTCTAGGGAGGTGATTTCTTGGAAAAGAATATTGTACTTGGAAAGGTGGAGGGTCAGTGAAGGAAAGAAAGACCTCCAATCAGGTGGTTTGTCACAGTGACTGCAGCAGGGGGCTCAAGTGTATCAGAGATGATGAGGATGGCACAGGGTAGAAAAGAGTTGTGCTCAACAACAACAAGCCCATCTTACATATACTAGTTCACCTATCAGACTAAAATCTATGATGACTTACTTTTTTTAACACTCTGATGTGCTTACAAGAGAGAGAGAGACAAAGCCATGGACTTACCCCTCTGGGTCTGCATGAGTTTCCAAGGACCCTAAATGCATTTTCATAAGCTATCATTCTTGCTCAATTATAATGACTTTTCAAGTCAGGTGAGTTTGTCTATACACTCTACAAGTTGTTGTTCCCATGTTTTCTGTTGTGTTTTTGATTTTGTAAAATTTTCTGGAATTTTAGCTTTATTTTTATGATATTATTAATTGTGAACCTGCATAATTTTTTTGTGAATCAAGTAGCAATTAAAGAAGGAGAAATGGGGAAAAAAGGATTCCCACCCAGTTGCTAATAGTGCTGCAACGAATATTGTTGTAATTCAATGTAGACAAATTTGTAAAATAATTTTTCCATTGTTGTGTACTATGGACTCAGAACAGACCCATTGCTGACCCTCCTGTGGGTTTTCAGAGGCAGTTAATCTCACAGGAGGAGGCTGCCCATCTTTCTCCTGTGGAGGAGCTGGAGGATTCAAACTGCATGACTTTGGGACTGTAGCACAGCTTCTTAACACTAGGCTACCCAAGCTCCTTATTTTGCCATTAGTATCCATATAATCTAAGATATATTGCTTTTAAATAATTTGTAATGGCAGTTATCATATTAGTCTATGATTCAAACTGCTAATAAATATTCCTAAGGATTCCGTGTGATCTAGTACAGGAGGTGGTCTCTGATGGGCGAGTGACACCGCATCCTGGGTATGTGAAGGTTAATGTGCTTAGTTACTAATTGAAAAGATGATTTTTCAAGTCCACTCAGAGGCTTCTCAGAAGAAAGATCTAGTGATTTATTTCTGAACAACTAGCTCTTGAAAACTCTGTGGAGCACAGTTCTTCTCCAAACACACAAGGTCTCCAATCAAATCATTAGTAACTGGGTTAAGAGACTTGGGGCACTCACTGAGGATGAGGGAACTGGGATTGGAGGCCTGATCCAGTGGAAGATGCTAGGGTTATAAGAAGGCTGGCCACCGGGAGAGGAGAACATGGACTCTTAGATTCTCAGTAAGAAAGCTTCGGCATGAATTGATAAGTATGTAGAGGGGAAAAAGAAAGAAATACTATCAATCTTTATGATTGACCTATGATAAGCTTGTTTGTTACTCTCTTACATATTAGGTCATGAATGATAGTTTTAGTAAAGTGGAGGTGTGTTCAGTGTTCCACAGGGATGGAGGGGGGGCTGAAAAAGGAGCAAGTGCCTAGCCCTGGCCACTCAGCAGAAGGGAGAGGGCAACAGAGGTATTAGGAAATGCTTAGGAAGTTGTAGCTTGTTCACACAGGAACAGTGTGTCGAAAGAAGCTGACACTGAAGGAAGCTCTGACTCCATTTCAGTACTTTCTTGTTAAATTATTATCACTCAATTACTAGGATAGTTCTTGCCCAGGATGGATTTGAAAGCAAGAAATATAGCTCAGTGCTGAGAAAAAGATTCTCCTTTTGAGGCTGAGGAGAAAAGGAAAGGATGGGCTGAGGTGTCTTCCTCAGGGTGAGCGTCCACAGGTGACAAAGCCTTGTAATATTCGTCTTGTCCATCAAGCACTTTGATTTCACTGCAATAGAGGAAACATACATCGGGATTATCACTGAGGTGACTACCATTGCTTCTTCAGTGGTTGGAACATGGTTGGATCCCAACACTGTAGAGGATGGGTAGGTTAAGCTCAGGGCTTCCCTCTACACATGGACTGGGGTCTGAGTCACCAAACCTTTCACCTCTGGACCACACACTGAGCCCTGCTTTGTGGTTCTGGAAATTGTCATCATCTTCCAACTTGATTTATGTGAAACAAATTGGCTTTGTCTGGTTCCTTCTAGTTGGGAAAGTCACCCTCATGACCTTTTCCAGTTCACACAAATACTAGTAATCAACTTCATTACTCTTCTAAATCAAGATGATAATCAGCTGAGCCTCAAACTAGTTAGTTGTCTTCTAACCATTGGGAAATGTTTTTCTTTATGTACGTGTAAGGCCCAGGGGTAGGATAATGTGGGGAAAGTGGTGTGTCTGTGCTTTGTGGGTGTTCTTATTTGTGGAAGGAGAGTTTTAGACAACCTGTAACCTGTCTGTAATTATAAGGAAAGTCCAATTCCCTAGAATAATTACGAGAAATAACATTTGCCCTTAGATGACCATGCCAGCCTTTTCAGACAGAAAGGATTCAAAATGTGTGTATTGCTACTGGGAAGGGTAGTTTCCCATGCCAGCAGCGGTGGCAATATCCTGACTGCATATTTTTAGAAGCCTCTCTGGAAAGTTTTGCATTTTCTGTAATATCACAAAGGACCCCTTCTGTTTACAGTTGCTTAGAACTAAGAAGACAGATATTTACCCAAGTTTTCTTGGCTTCCTCTTGCTCCCTTGATATTCTAGAGTTCCCTGTGGAGAGGGCCAAGAACACACAGTCAAAGCAAAGCAGCAAGTCGTTAATTTTTAATTCAAAGTGATTTTGTGTTGAATGCAAGCAGATGCTGATAATATCAGAAGTCACAGCATAATTTTTTTGATCAAAGGGCTCAAGTGAGCCTGATGAAGCATGCATCTTGCTCGTCTTTGATAAACCACATCAATTATTCACCGTGAAGGCAGACATCCTGACATGAAAGCAACAGATAAAGAGCCTAAGCACATGTTCGAGAAGGGAGCATAAGAGAGTGGGGGTGGGGCTGGAGGGGCTGGAACAGGTATTAATAACAGAATTATTAACTGGAAACAAAGCCAGTGAAACAGCTTCAGGACCACTTTGAACTCACATTTAACTGGTTATAGTACATGGTGTCCTCAGGGCTACTCAGCATTTTGGGTTGTTGACATCGTCGGCGAGGTGTTCGCTGCTTCTGTGCAAGACCATTTTCTGAACCTGCAACAAGATTACAAAACTTCATTGTAAACCACCCCAGGTGTTGGGAAAACTGACCAATATCCCTGTCTACATCTTCACATAAATGGAAAGTAGAAACTGGGTCACATTTTAATGGGCACTGGTTAGAAGCTTTGCACTGAGCTGCTAATACTCTAAGACATGTCATCTGCATGCGCACATACACACACACACACA